TTTTTTTTTTTTTTTTTTTTTTTTTTAAACACAGCCCTGCCTGCATATATCCTCTTTGGCTCTTTATACCACATTGGCAGAGTTGGGTATTCGCGACAGATAGGTATGACTTACAAAGCCTAAACTATCTACTACCTGGCTCTTTACAGAGAAGTTTTCTGATCCCTGGTCTGGGGCATGGTGGTAATTATTTAAAACTTTGTCAGTAGCTCCAGATGCTAAATTAGTATTATGTACAAAGTGAGATTTGTTTCCAGGCCTCTTTCTTTTTTGAAAACATTTTTTTTACTAGTACTAAGATGCCTTCCTTCCTTTCTTTTCTTCTCTTCCTTTGATTTTTTTAACCTTTCATCACTTAACTATATCAGAACAAAAACACTCTTGAAAACTTAGAGCTTTAAATTCTATTTAATGTGTTTTCAATGACAACTGTAAAACTCTAGAGGAGCTTAAATATCATATTTATGTTTATAAAGGTAAGAGATTTAATTTTTAAAATATATTGGAAATAAAGTTTCAAATTAAAATATTTAAATTCTCCGTAGTATAAAATTTGGCTCCTTTTTGGTTTTGAGCATCCATATTTCAACAAGGTTTTTAGTGAAAAGTTTTTCAGTAAAAATGTTTCATGCACTAAAACAGATATTATTCTCACCTTATGCCAGTAGAATTTTTTTCGGACTAACTCAGTGGCTTTTATATATCAGTTTCCAGTACAGAATCAATAATGTTTTTAAAAGGTTTAAGAAGAATAAATACTCGCTTCTCATGTTTCTAAAGAATGAATGAATATTTACATTGGGCTGGTACTTGTTATATTTTTGGAAATGGATCTTCCTGGGAGGAAGGCTGGTCTTTGGGAAGCAGAGTTAGTCCTAAGGCTGGGTATGGGGTTGGAGTTGACTTTAGAATTTGCTGGAGATTGTTAATGTGACTACACTACGTTCTCCTTCCATCTCATCCTACTGTATTCTTCCTCATCCAGTGTTCTCCATAAACAAGAACAAAGAAGCCCATAAAATGTTCACGCTAAAGCTGGGTACAGTGATACAGTCCTCTATTAGCTACCTAGAATGCTGAGGCAGGAGGATGATTTGAGGCCAGGAATTCCAGGCCAGTCTGGACAATGTAGTAACCATATCCCCCCCAAACAAAACAAAACATTTTCAGTCCGAAATGTCTAACATATAGAATGTGTACATGTGCTCTCTGTTCGCACAATTTATCAGATTTGAGCAATTCCAGCAATATATAAGTCTAAATAGCAACACATTGCCATGCAGTGTTGTTAAATAGCTATTTTTACTTTGGAAACTGGAAAGGTATAGAAAAGGAGTGAGGTCAGGTTTCAGCCCTGTTAGAATGTAAGCTTATCTTTGTTTTTAAAGCCTGAATTCAAAACTTGAATTCATGATGAAGGTAAATATAATCGGAAGGTGATGGAATATGCAAGTATCTGTTACTTCAGGTCAACGCTGTAGTTTTCTGGTAGAACTCTGGATTTTGTAGACAATTGAAAATATCAGTCACTATTCCAGGGCTAATAATAAAGTAATAGCCATAAATTTCAGCAATTTCCAGTTAGATCTTTGAGAATTCAAGGTGAAGGCATGGGAAATGGATCAGATGGGGAGAAAAGAATGTTTATGGGCTCTTTCTTTCAAAATCAACATTATTTGATTGATGTTCCTGAAAATCCAAGACTTTCTAAAAGGCTTAGAAGCAAATTCTTTATGGAAATCCTTATCCTTTCATTTGGGAAACAACCAAAGGAACTGGTTCTTTATGGTAAGTAAATGTAACTGTACTGTGGTCATGATTCTGTACAGCTTAATGAATTTTAAAGTCTAAAGTCAGTAAATAATATAATGCAATTTAAGTTTTGTTTTTGAAGTCATGGCTATTCATATGAATTAACCTCAGCTCTTCTTTATGAGCAACCGTGGCAAATTATATGATCCTGAATTCTTGTAAATGAATCTTTAAGTCAGTTTTACAAATGGACTTGTTAATCTTAATTGCTGTGCCAATGTCTTCATGATTCACATGACACTACAATATGGAAAGTGTGTCCTCATCTTTGGAGTCTTTAACTGGGTGAATGTTGTTTTTTGTTATTCAGCAGATGGCCCTGATTGTTAGTAGGCTGTCAGGGCTCTTTTAAATTGCTTATCTTATTTATAACCATTATTTGGGGGTTTTTTTTGTTAATTGAGTTTTTTGGTACATTTTAGGTATACAGTACAGTTACATTCATTATTGAGATCTTGTACCTTTACATGACAGGTCTTCATTCTCATTTTCCCCTTTGTCCCTGCCAACCATTGTTTGTTTTATGTTGGTGCCTAACGATGGCACGTATAGGGCTTGTGTCATACCACTATCAAATCAAAATACTCATGCATTTCTATATTGTACAGAAAACCTCTCACAATTAGAAAAAATTTTATTATGCCAGCATTAAAATTATTTGTATGAGAATGTATGTTTATCAATACTAGAGCATTAGATTAAAAGAAAACTAGGCAACTCAAAAGTTAAATAAATATGTTAAGCAATACATTGACCATGAGCAATGTTACTTTTTCCACTTTGCTCACTACCTGTGCCTTCTGAAGTTGGTAATATATGGGTGTGTGTGATACCATATTCATAGAGCATATGTCCTTGAGAATTCGGGCCATGTCTAATTGCTTTTATATTTCACTTTTGAAAGGACTAGGGGAGCCTAAATTTTTCAGCTTATTCTGATGAGCTGTTCTGGAATGCTACTCCGCATGTTCTGAAGGTACTCTGTATTTTCAGCTACTACTGATAGTGTTCAGTGACCACTCACTCTGTGAGGCACTATTCTACTTGCATTAAACTCATTTAAACTCTGAGAATAGGTACCATTGCTATTCACATTTTGATGTCTGCAGGGGTATAGAGAGGTTAAATTGTGAGCTGCATTACTTGGCTAGGGCTGCCATACCAAAGTACAGGTGACTTAACAAAAATTTATCATCTTATAGTTCTAGAGATTGAGAATCCCAAATCGAAATGTCAGAAAGGTGATTGGTCCCTTCTGAAAGCTGTAAGTAAAGATCTATTCTAGGCATCTCTCCTTGGCTTGTGGGTGACCACCTATATCTCTTTCACACTATCTTCTCTCTGTACATGTCTTTGTGAGTAAATTGACATTAGTCACATTGAATTAGGACACACCTAATAACCTCATTTTATCTTGGCTACAGCTATATAATCTGATTCCCAAATCAAGTGATCTCAGGAGGGGATACTGAGGGGTTTGAATTTCAGCATATGAATTTAGGACACAAGTGTTAGTCAGCTTCCTATTATTGTAACAATTACCTGAAGTAATCAATTTACAAAAAGAAAGAGTTTATTTTGGCTCACACTTTTAGGGGTTTCAGCTCCTGTTCAGTTGGCCTCATTACTCTTAGGCCTGTGGCAAGACAGTACATCAAGGTGGGAGCATATAATGGAACGAAAACATTCACCTTATGGCCAAAAAGCAAAAAAGAGAGAAGGCTGAGTTCTAATAATCTCCTTCAAGGGTACACTCCTCATGACCTAAAAACCACTACCTTCAGAAATTTCACCACCTCCCATAAGAATCAAGATGGGAACCATCCTTTAACACACAGATGTTGGGAGGCCATCTCAACCCAAACTATAATAAATGAGAGTGGGAGTATGAAGAGGGTGCACAGTTCCACCAAGAACACTAGCCATCTGTGATAGAACTGGGCTTTCAATCCAGCTGTTTAACTCCAGAATTTAAGCTTTCAGTCTTTACATTAAACTACCTTAACCAGGTTAGGTTGATCCATGTGAAATTACTTTTTTTTTTTTTTTTTTTGTGGCTCAGACACAGTAGAATATTGGGAGTATTCATGACTTGACCTGACCTATTTCCAAATTTTGTCACTTAGATCAATTTTATAAAGTATAAAGGAAAGCAGAATACCCAAGAAATAAAAGTAAATATACCCTTAGTTCTGTCTCTTAAGGGACAGAAGACAGAAACATGCACACAAAGCCTTTTGAAAACAGTATCAGTCATTGTACAAAGAAATATCTGTGTGATTTTTTCCTGGTATTTCTATTCTAGCAAATATTGGAGTTATGGATATAGTGATTAAACCAATGCAGAATGTCTTTTCTTTACTACCGTGCTTATTAGAACTCACTCATTACAAACTAGGAAAACCACCTCCATATGCTAGACTTAGGCCAAAAGGGAGAGTGTTCTTTCCTGATTTTGACTAGTGCCATAGTGAGTTTCAAAAGTGAAGGTGATAATGATTTCAAAATTAGAAAGTACATCATAGACAGTGGTCAAACCTACTTGCCTTTTTATACATGGTAATTTTATAAAATTAGGTGAGTAACCATGTAAAAACCAAGCGTATAGAGGAGTTCCAATACAAAAGCTTCTACATACATTAGATTTGTTTTCAATGTCAAAGTATCGTTTTAAACCTTGGTTTCCTAGTTGCTCTTGTTGAAAAAGTCTTTTCTGTAAATTTATATCATGTCAATCTTTTAATTTTTATCTTTAAAACAATTTCTTTCACAGTTTAGTTCACTAAAGGCATATAACAACAGTGGCAGTCTAACTCCAATTTCCACCTCTCCTTTCCTATTTTTTTGTTTTCTGCAGTACTGGAAATTTGAGCCCAGGCCTTCATGAATGCTAGGCAACTTTATCCCTGAGCTATACTCCCTGCCTGCTTTCAGTTTTTATACTTTCTCATTCTATAGGCAATTATATTTTAGAAGTTATGAGAAAACTACGATTCACCTTTAACAATTACCTTTGCCTGGATTTTGCTTTCAAGTCTTGAGGTGGACTTTGAAGCTTGGCAATATTAATAGAATTCTGAAAATCAGGACTCAATGGCATGTGCCTGCTAGGCTCTCACAAGTGTGATTCTTTTTGGTTTTAGGTGTTCCAACCCCAAGCCAAGAAATCCTGCGGCACACACTGAACACGCTGGTACGGGAAAGGAAAATCTATCCGACTCCAGATGGCTATTTCATTGTGACCCCACAGACTTACTTCATAACTCCTTCCCTCATAAGAACTAACAGTAAATGGTACCATTTGGACGAGAGGATACCTGACAGGTCTCAGTGTACCTCTCCACAACCCGGAACCATAACGCCCTCTGCCTCAGGCTGCGTCAGGGAAAGGACATTACCCAGAAACCACTGCGACTCTTGCCACTGCTGCCGAGAAGACGTGCACAGCATGCACGCATCGACTCTGCAGAGGAAACCCGCCAAGGACTGCAAAGACCCTTACTGCCCTCCTTCACTATGCCAGGTGCCACCCACTGAAAAGAGCAAAAGTACTGTAAATTTTTCTTATAAGACAGAAACTCTCTCAAAACCTAAAGACAGTGAAAAGCAGTCAAAAAAATTTGGGCTCAAGTTATTCCGGCTAAGTTTTAAGAAAGATAAGACCAAGCAACTAGCCAATTTCTCTGCTCAGTTTCCTCCCGAGGAGTGGCCCCTGAGGGACGAGGACACGCCAACCAGTATCCCTCGGGAAGTGGAGATGGAAATCATTCGGCGTATTAACCCTGACTTGACTGTGGAAAATGTCATGAGGCACACAGCGCTGATGAAGAAACTTGAAGAAGAAAAAGCACATAGGAGTAAAGCGGGATCCTCTGCTCACCATAGCGGAAGAAGTAAAAAGAGTAGGACTCATCGGAAGTCCCACGGGAAGTCCCGGTCACACAGCAAGACACGAATATCTAAAGGAGACCCTTCAGATGGCTCACATCTGGAGATCCCTGGTGAAAGAGAGTATGACTTTTGTGACCCTCTGACCAGGGCGCCCAGGGAGGGCTGCTTCATCATTGAACACAAAGGAGATAACTTCATCATGCATAGCAACACAAATGTGATTGAGTCCCATTTCCCCATGACACCAGAATGGGATGTGTCTGGTGAATTGGCCAAAAGGAGAACTGAGATGCCTTTTCCAGAACCTTCCAGGGGAAGCTCCCACTCAAAAGTACACCGAAGCCACAGCCATACCCAGGACCGAAGGTCCAGGAATGAGAGATCCAACAAAGCCAAGGAGCGATCCAGATCGATGGATAACTCCAAAGGTCCCCTGGGTGCTTCTTCTCTAGGCACACCTGAAGACCTGGCTGAAGGCTGCAGCCAAGATGACCAGACCCCCAGCCAGTCCTACATCGATGATAGTACTTTAAGGCCTGCACAGGCTGTTGGCCATCAAAGGGCTCACATTTCGTCCACAAGCTATAAAGAGGTGTGTATTCCTGAAGTAGTCGGTGGTGGCAAGGAATCTTCCAGTGCTTGTAGCCTTTTGGAGACAGGCAAACCCCCCGAGAGTTTGCCATCCTATGGTGAACTCAACTCTTGTCCAACAAAAACAGCCACAGATGACTACTTCCAGTGCAACACCTCTAGTGAGACAGTGCTCACAGCACCGTCACCTCTGGGAAAGAATAAGGAGGACCATGACACACTGACTCTGGTGGAAGGGGTGAAGAAGTTGTCTCCATCTGATAGGCAGAACCCTCATTCCTCCAGGGAGCCTGCTGGGCACAAGGAAGAGTCCCCAAAAGGACCAGGTGTGGGCCCTGCCACTTCGGGTGGAGTGGCTGAAGGGATTGCTAATGGACGCCTGGTCCAGCACCATGGCACTGAGCCCAGCAGCCTGGATAAGAGGAAAGAGATATTCAGCAAAGACACACTGTTCAAACCTCTTCACGGCACCTTGTCTGTAAACAGCTATCACAAATCGAGCCTGTCCCTCCTCAAATCTCACCCGAAGACACCTGCCGACACAATGTCAGGCCGATGCGAGAAACTGGAATCTTCCCTGGGGACCTCGGCAGCACAAGCCATGCCTGCCTCTCAGCGTCAGCAGGAGTCAGGAGGGAACCAGGAAGCTTCCTTTGACTATTACAATGTCTCCGATGATGATGACTCTGAGGAAGGGGCGAACAAAAACACAGAGGAGGAGAAAAATAGAGATGATGTAGGCACCATGCAGTGGCTCCTAGAGAGGGAGAAGGAAAGAGACTTGCAGAGGAAATTTGAGAAGAACCTCACCCTCCTTGCCCCGAAAGAAACCGACAGCAGCAGCAACCAGAGAGCCACCCATTCAGCCCGGCTTGACAGCATGGACAGCAGCAGCATCACTGTGGACAGTGGATTCAACTCTCCACGGTAGGGAGAGGTGTCTTTCTGCACACACGCACACACACACCTACCAGGGCCAGGAGCTTCATGCAGATAACTTGAAAAGCTTCTCATTTCAGTCTCAGTTTTGTGAATAAGCGTTGAGTTGTTTGAATTGTATTGTTAATAACCTGTTTCTGACTTCTTTTTCAGGAATTGAAAAAAAAATGTTTCTGCAGCTGTAGAGATCACCAATCTGGACTGGTGGGCTGGCTTCTTCCCTCAAACTTGCATCAGTTCAGACTAAAAAGACCAACACTTGCCAGGGTTTCTAAATTTTCTGTTTGTATTAACACCATGCTAAGAGAAGAGATTTTAAAAGTCCTTCAGAAATAGTACCTTTCCAAATAGAATGAACAGTCATTGGGAGATGGGGGGGTGGGCATTTGGATTGGTACTAGGATGGCGTTCTCTAGGGATGGGATAACAGCCAGAGGAGCTAGAAGCTTGCTACCATTTTAATCTCTCCTTTGTGTGCCTGTCCTACTTGCTCAGATACCCTCCTCCATCACCCCTGTGTCCTTGGGGAGATGGAAACTTGTTCCTCTCATAGAAAAGCTAGAAGCATGTGCTTTGTTAGATCAAGACAGATGCCAGCTTTTCTTCCTCTCCTGTAGTCCTGACACAGCCATTTAGGGGTAGTTGTCACAGTCAGGTGTTGGCAATTCAGCAGTGTTGGCAATTGAGAGGATATCGTGGCTGATGGGAGCAAAGCACTGTTGTTCACGGGTTACAAAAGCAAACTGGGAGTCTATAAAACGTCCTTGTTTCTCTTAACTCTTTCTTCTCCTTAAAGGGTACCTTGGGTCTTAAGCCTCCTTCTAAATTCTACTCCAGATTGGTGACTCTTGAGATGCAGAAACTATTGAGCGATTAATATTTCTTAGCAGCTGTGATTACCAAGATCTTAATAGTACTAATAATTTTAACAAGTACCCAGATAGGACTATGTGCTGTATATATTTATTTTAATTATTAAGAATTTAATATTATTTTTTTGTGATCATTTTACCATATCGCTGGATAATTTGGGGACAGAGCATCCCAAGTCAGAACTGAGAAACATTAATCTGTCCCATATTAGGCCTTTATTATTTCATAAGTGGCTAGTTTTTGATAATCCTGATGATGATGATGATGATGATGATGATGATGATGATTACTTGGTCATGTAACCTTTTTCCAAGTTAACACATGTCCCAGAAGTCCCAGGTCTCTTCTACCTGTCCCTTGAGGAACTCTGAAAGACCTTAGAGAGCTATAACATCCAGTCTTAAAACTACTGGCCTATTTAATGACCTTTCTAAGATATTGTTTTGCTAAATAATTTTTAAAATCCCAAATCAAGTCTTAATTTGTTTTTCATTTTATTTTCTCTATCCTTTTCTACCTGTTTTCCTGTTCTACACCCCCCCGATACCCTAATAGTAGATACCAGCATAATTGAAGGTCTGTAGTCTATGGTAAATTTCAAATCCATCCCTCATGGAACATGTGGTTTATTTGCCTCTGTCTTTATATTCCACTGTTTCTTATTATGTAGACTCTCTTGCCTAATGCTTCTCAGACAGTTGTTTCTAACCCTTCACTTCACCTTGTTGGCCTTTGGACTTCCACAGGCAGAAACTGCAAAACTCTAGACAGTTTCTAAGGAGACATTGGGAATAGTTAAGTGGTTTCTACCTCAAAACTCTACTACTGCATAATATTTAAAGTATTTGTTTGCATATGGATGAATGGAAATATTCATAAAATATTTAAACCAGTATCTCCACAGAATATATTATCTCAAAACTTGGAGTATGGAATATAGAACTTATGACTGGGATTATTTCTTGAAGTAAGTTCAGTTTTATTTTTAAGATAATGTACTTAAAAGTTAAATGATTTTCATGGGAGAAGGTAGTTTCTTCTGAGAAGACAGATTTCATGCATTAGCCACATCTGTCCACAGGTAGAGTTTTTTCTCCACGAATATGTAAATTATTCATGAATTTTATGCTGTTAGAGAACTTTAAAATACTGATTTTACTGCTATCATATTTAATATCCTTTGGTTATAAGCTAGGTGGCAAACTTCTTTTTTGTACACCTCAATAAAGTAAGTTTCTTTTCTAATGCTTGAAGATCTACAAAAGAGAATCGTTGACTTAGAATTTTCAGAATGAGTAGTATTTTAGCTAAGTGACATTATCATGCTGATACCTTTCTGCTGCTGTGAGACTTGGGAATCTTAAGGGGGCCATTTATTTGGATCTTACAGTACAAAAATGTACTAAGCAGTTAAGACTCAACCAAAAAAGATGATTGGAAACCAAAGGTTTCACTGCTGACCCAGATGTTCTGTTCAACCACATTTCCAAAATTCTTCATCCTGCTACTTAAAAAATAGAGGATTTTTAAAAGTTAAAGAGTAGAAACTTGAACTATCCTGGAAGATCGCATAAAGAAAATGAAAAGTCTAGAGGTGAAAAGCCTGCTGTTTCAAAACTGGGACCAAAACTGCTTAAGCAACACAATATGAAAATCAGACAGACCATAAGCTGCCAGCACAGTCTGCGTGTGCACTTTGGAAGCCAGGGCTCAGGGAATACACAGGCAGAAGGAAGAACAACACAGCTACTTGGTTCATTTCTCCTGCCTGTAAAATCCTCGAATATTGTTTTTAAGGTTGCACTCCATTAACTGTCACTCAGAAAAGTTAAATTTCAAACCAGTCTTGGTGGTGCATACCTATAATCCCAGCACTCAGGAGGCTGAGGCAAGAGCATTACCAAGAGTTAAAGTCCAGCCTGGGCTGCATAGTGAATACAGAGCCAGCCTGAACTACAAAGGGAGACCCTGTCTCAAGAAAAAATTAGATTTCAGGAATATTTTTACTGCTAAAAATCCATCTCCATTAACCTTTTCATCAGCATATTCAGAACCTTCAATGTGTCAGAGACTGTACTCAGTATTACAACAGAAATGAAATATTCTTTGAAGAAATTGGAATACTGTATGCATTTATCACTAAATATATATATA